GAATTCCCCAGCCAGGAAACCCTGGCTGGGGAATTCTGGGAGTTGAAGTCCAGACATCTTCAAGTTGCCAAGGTTGAGAAACACTGAACTAGATGACCTACAAGATCCCTTCCAACTCTTGTTAATCTGTTAAATGGTTGTGGATTCATTTCCGGGATGCTCCAAATTTAGAAGTTTGGTGCATTTTTATGTTGATGGAGATTATTTCTCACATCTGGAGCTTCGCTGCCTGTTCCTCTATGTTTTGTTGAGAAGCAGGTTAAAAAGTCTTCGGGGGAAAAGAAAAAAGAAAAACTGGAAATCTCGCCATTCGGCTTCATTCCTTTGGAAAGGAAACAGACATTTATCAGCATTTCTCTTTAGACCCGAATCGGAGAAAACAATCAGGCCATCACATCCATCTATTCTCTCTGGCAAGCCGAAATTGATCATCAGACTGAAGCCGGTGTATTTTCAACCTCTCTCTCTCCTTATTTCCCTTAGCAGTTTTTTTTCCCCACCCCCATTTGGACCATAAATAAGTTAGATTTAAAGTGCTGGAAAACAAATTGTTCAGCCGGGAAACTTATTTTGCTTTGTGTTTTTTTGCGTGAAAGGTGTCCAAATTGTCCGCCGTTTCACCACCTCTGAAAATTTCTTTTTTTCCCGTTAAAAGAAAGGAGTCCACTCCCCCTCTTCTTTCCTCCTTACAAAGGTTACCAGCTCAGTGGAAACTTTGGCTAGCTGCCTCCTTCTCCAGCAATGATATTGCGGAGGGTGTGTGCGCGTGTGTCAAAATCGACAAGACGAGGGGTGCGTTGTCATGCTCAAAGCCCCCCCTCTCTTGCACACACGAGTGTACAAAAGCTTGTCCTCTCTGCAGCGGAGTCGAAGCGATAAGAGCTTTGCGCTTTGGGGTTTGTCCTCTCTCTCTCTCTCTCTCTCTCTCTCTCTCTCTCTCTCTCTCTCTCTCTCTCTCTCTCCCTCTCTCTCTCTCCCCCCTCTCACGGGCCACCTCCGTGCATGCACTAATAAGCCTTCTGTGCATGCGCTTTTTGCTTAAAAAGGACCTGAATGTGAGGCTATAGAGCCGAGGCAAGTGGGCAGGGCCAGCCGCGATTTCTGCTACCGGTTCGGGCGTATTGGTCTGAACCGGTAGAATACCACCTGTGCTCTATATTGTACACCCAGGGTAATAAGGATATCTTTGGGGTCCTCCATTCTTCTCCACCCCAACATTTGGAGAGCTTCCGCCTTGTGGTTCCCCTGACTTTTCCTTCCTTCCAGGAAAATTAACTTTTCTTTCGAGTTCCCTTGATTTCTTTCTTTTGTTCTTCTTTTCCAGGAAAACGAAGAGTGGATCCTGGTGGGGAGAGTCATTGACCGTGTCTGCTTCCTCATCATGGCCTCCGTTTTTGTCTTCGGTACCGTTGGCGTCTTCCTGATAGCTCACTTCAACCAAGCTCCAGCCAAACCTTTTGCGGGAGATCCGAGGACATATCTGCCCGAGTAGTGGGCCAGGAATTGGATCCGCAGATCTCAGCTGGGTCCTCTCCTTGGAGCAATTTCATACGGAGAACAAGGCTGCAATGCAAAACCTTTGGGGGGGGGACTTGCAGAAATACAGGTAATCCTTGACTTACAACCATTCATTTAGTGGCTGTTTGAAGTTACGACGGTGCTGAAAAAAGTGACTTATGACCATTTTTCACACTTACAACCATTGCAGCATCCCTGGGGTCACATGATCAACATTGAGCCATAGTGGCACAGTGGTTAGAGTGCAGTACTGCAGGCTACTTCTGCTGCCTGCCGGCTGCCTGCAGTTTGGCAGTTCAAATCTCACTAGGCTCAAGGTTGACTCAGCCTCCCATCCTTCCGAGGTGGGTAAAATGAGGACCCAGATTGTTGGGGGACAAGAGGCTGACCCTGTAAACCGCTTAGAGAGGGCTGTAAAAGCACTGTGAAGCAGTATATAAGTCTAAGGGCTATTGCTATTCAGATGCTTGGCCACTGATTCATATTTATGACGGTTGCGGTGCCTTGGGGGGAATCATGTGATCAGTTTCTGCGACCTTCTGGCCAGCAAAGTCTATGGGGAAGCCAGATTCACTTAACAACCATGTTACTAACTTAACAAGTGCAGTGAATTCATTTAACCACACTGGCAAGAAAAGTTGCAATAGGGGGCAAAATTCACAAAGGCTTTGTCCCATATATTTTTTTTACCTTTCTTGCCACAGTTGTTAAGAATGGTTCACATCCGTAAAATAACAACGCTATTAGTTTAGTTTACTTTATTGTCCTTGCACCTGGTACAATTAAATTAAAGGCCGTCTTCACTGTACATTACAATTATGAAAATAAAAACGCAAACATAAATCCTTTACATTCTACATCATGGAAATTAAAAACCCGATATTGCACTATACTGTAGAATCAGTGGTGGGTTCTGGATCCCAGTGCAACCAGTACGGTGCGACGGGGCCAGGCGTTCAGCACATGAATGCATGCAGCATGCACGCACACACAGACACAGTGCGTGCATGTGTACTTACCGCCAGCGATGCTCCACGCCTCTGCGATGCTCCAGCTGCTCAGCGGAGTGTCGCGCAGGCGCCCTATACACTGTGTGCGTGCACAGAAGCCACAAACAGCTCAAATACAGGTAAGGAAGGCGGGCAGGCGAGTGGGCCCCTCTGAAGCACCATACTAGAACGGTACCTGATACTCCCAGCAGGCACCGGTACACCCGTACCAGGGCATACCAGTCGTAACCTACCACTGCGTAGAATTCAATATAGTTGCTGCCCTGGGATAGAAGCTGTAATTCAGCTTGTTTATCCTTGTTTTTATTGCCCTGTACCGTCTGCCAGATGGTAATAGTTCAAAAAAAAAAAAAAAGGGAGCCCAGGATGAGATGGGTCTTTAAGGATGTTTTGAGGCAGCGGGAGCTATAAAGCTCTTCCAAAGAGGGGAGAGGGCAACCCGTAACCCTCAGGCCAATGACATTGACCCCCTGGAGTGCTGTCCTATCAGCCACTGGGCAATTGTTAAGTGAATCTGGTATTCCCCATTGACTTTGCTTGACAGAAGTTCGGAAAAGGGGAATCACGTGACCGCAGGACACTGCAACCGTCATAAATATGAGGCACTTGCTAAGCGTCTGAATTTTAAGGAGGTGACCGTGATCCGGGTGATGAGACGGTCATAAGTGTGAAAAAATTGTAAGTCTCTGTTTTCGGTGCCGTTGTAACTTCGAATGGTCACAAAACAAATCATTGTAAGTTGAGGACTTCCTGTGTCGGTTCTCGGAAGGCAGCCGCAGCAGTCCAAAGGGGTGGGGTTGCTTTGCCTTCATTAAATCCTGCTACAGGTAGTCCTCAACTTACGACCGTCATAAACGTGAGTCACTTGCCAAGCATCCGAATCTTGATCAGGTGACCTTGGGGATGCTGTGACGATCATCGGTGCAAAAAAAAAATGGTCACAAGTCACTTTTTCAGGGCCGCCATAACTTCAAGCAGTCACTAAATGAATTGTCGTAAGGCGAGGACAATTTGTATTATGGAACAGCTGATATCCGGCAAGGGATCCTTTTCATATCATCACATAACATCTGCCTGTCCCTTAGGAAAGACTCGATAGGTGGATAAAAAGGCCAAATCCACCATCTGGTTGACCGTGTGATCTATCGTGATAATAATTTTTACAAATGTTTTGAAAAGAGGGTTTTCTTTAAAATAAATCAGGTGATTTATTGCAATACAATAGCAGAGTTGGAAGGGACCTTGGAGGTCTTCTGGTCCACCCCCCCTGCCTAGGCAGGAAACCCTATACCGTTCCAGACAAATGGCTATCCAACATCTTCCTGAAGACTTCCAGTGTTGGGGCATTCACAACTTCTGGAGGCAATTTCTGTTCCACTGATAAATTGTTCTCATTGTCAGGAAATTTCTCCTCAGTTCTAAGTTGCTTCTCTCCTTGGTTAGTGTGGGAAATTACCCCATAATTGGCTGGGTGAAATTAGCTGGGATCAATAGGATAGGATAGAATATCTGGATCAATTCTATCTGGATCAATTGATCCCAGTGAACATTTGCCAAAAGCCATATGGAGAAAACAGTCCTGGGAAAGCTTTTAGATAAGGAAGCCGAATTCATTTCGGGTGTCTATGTGAATNCGGGTCCACTGGTGGAATCTCTTCTAACCGGTTCGGTAGATTTGACGAACCGGTTCTACCGAATAGGTGCGAACTGGTAGGAACCCACCTCTGCTGCAGTTGTTAAATTAGTAACGCCGTCTTTAAGTGAATCTAGCATTCCCCATTGACTTTGCTTGGCAGAAGTTCTCAAAAGGGGGTCACTTGATCTCGGGGCACCGCAACCGTCATAAATATGAGGCACTTGCTAAGCGTATGAATTTTGAGCAAGTGACCATGATCAGAAAGGATGTGACGGTCATAAGTTTGAAAAAAATGTTCGTTAAGTCCCTTTTTCCGGTGCCGTTGTAAGTTCGAATGGTCACAAAATGAACCGTTATAAGTTGAGGACTACCTGTGTCGCTATTCAGAAGGCAGCCAAGAAAGAAAAGGGCTGAGTTTGGTTTCACTTTGTTAAATCCTGCTACAGGTAGTCCTCGATTTACGACCGCAATTGAGAACTACAATTTCTATTGCTAAGCAAGGCATTATTTTTTGGGAATTGCAGCTGATTTGACAACATTTTTGCCGTGGTAGTTAAGCAAAATCACTGCAGTTATTCGATAAATCATGTAGTCATTAAACAAATCCAGTTTCCCCCATTGATTTGGGTGGTCACATGACCACCCGTCGTACACACCTTGCTCAAATTGTGACCGTTGGGATGCTGCGAGGGTTGTAAGCACGAGGACCGGTTGTAAGCCGCTTTCGTTAGGAACGCTGTAACACTAAATGAAACGGTTGTAAACCGAGGACTACCAGCGACGGCCTTGTTTTCAACCGTTTAAAAGCCTCCGATGATTTAAGCAGACTTTCCCAAACTTAATTCTCCTCCCCTTTTCCAGCTGCTTCCCAACCAGGAAGGATGTGCGTTTGGAAGGGAGAAAGAGAAAAAACGGGGACTGTATATTCCCAAAAGAATTGGTGATACTTGGCAACAGTCCGTTTCACAGGTCTGGTGCAAAAGCTCCCTCTGCTGGCTGCTTTGGGAATCTTGCTAAGGCTCACGTACAATAATACAATACAATAGCAGAATTGGAAGGGACCTTGGAGGTCTTCTAGTCCAACNTGTGTGTGTGTGTGTGTGTGTGTGTGTGTGTGTGTGTATGTGTGTGTATCAAATGCCCAGGCCTGATGTAGGGGGGTGCAAAACCTCACATTAGGAGCGGCTCATGTGTTCTAGGCTGGTGTTTTGGAAAAAAACAGAGCTGAGATCTTCTCAAATACATTAAAGTGATTCTCCTTTGAAGGATGAAATTCTGAGAAATCCCCGGGGCAGAAACCGAACGTCGTGAATTCTCCAGGATATATATTTTTTTTTAAATCCCAACTTGAATTATTATTATTATTATTATTTTTTGCACATCTTCACTGCGACGCAATAACATCCCATTCCTTGCCGATATTTTTTATAATTTCCGACTCGATTCCATTTTAATAGTTTGCTCTACGCTGGAATAATAGCTTTTAAAGCTTTGCTATTCATTAGTAGCCTGTTATTGTCTGCCTGGCTCCCTTTCCTTCTTCCCTCTCCCCACCTCCCTTTTAATTGTTTACTTCTCAGAAACTTTCCATGTTTTAAAGCAACTTTCCAATCTGCAGAAACTTAATTTGATTATTGGCTGCGTTAGGAAACTTAAAAGTCAATAAAGAATTGCAGCAGATTTGGTACAGGCGAAAAACTCCTGAAGTGTTTCGGAACGCAAGACAGATAAAATCACGATGGCATTCTTACCAACCCTTATAACATGGATGCCCTGGATTGGACCCTAAAGTAATTAGATGGGATTTGCGGATCATCGCGCGCTGATTCGATTTTATGACCTATTTTTGCAGCAGTCGTTAAGCAAATGCGGTCGTCAAAAGCAAGCACCCAGGTCATTAAACAAAGCCATTGTTCTCTGCAGTCTGTTTTTTAAATTTTTGCTGGGAAACGGAATGAAACCGAATTCCAGGCTTCTGCAGAGATTACAGATTACGGTAGATTATGGAAAAGATTTAGGAAGCTACCCAGTTCTGTGTTTGTACTCCTTGATTTACGACCACAATTGCACCCCAAAGTTGTGTCGCTCAATTGATTAAGTGATTTTTTTTTCCTTGCCACATTTAAGTGAATCACTGCAGTTCAGTGGTGGGTTTCAAAAAAATTTCGAACCTACTCTGTGGGTGTGGCCTCCTTTGTGGGAGTGGCTTGNGTCCTTCTTTTCATTAAACTAGACATCCCCAGTTCCTGCAACCGTTCTTCGTATGTTTTAGTCTCCAGGCTTTTAATTGCTCTTCTCTGCACTGTTTCCAAAGTCTCAACATCTTTT